TCTATCTTCCCCATCTCCTCCTCCATCTTCTCCTCCTCCTCGTTGTCTTATCTTCTCCATCTTTTCCGCATTTTCTGTCTTCTCTCTTCCTTTCCTCTCTTCTTCTCCTTCTGTATCTCGCCCCATCTCCCATTCGGAGTTCAGAAAATTGCACTAGATCACAATTTCCCAACCTCAACAATTCTCAGCATGCTGGCTGGGGAATTTTGAAGAGTTAAAGTCCGCTCCTCTCCAAATAGCCAACCTTGAGCTGTACACTATCAGAGGTTAATCTACTCCCGAAACACCCTCTGTCCAACCTCTAAGCCCCTGGCAGCCTCTAAGCCCCTGGCAGCCCCAAAGCCGAACCCTATTTCTACTCTGCAGGGTCTACAACTCTGCCTTTAGAAGGTAGAATTCAATCCCCAGCTACTGAGACACACCAGCTCTTATTCACTTGTCTCCTCCTCCCTCCTCACCTGCCTGCCTCTTCCCTTTCCTGCCAGGACACCCTTCCACGCCGACGTCTTCCGCTCTTACAGCTGGTCAGCCAACATCTGCGGCAAAAAGAAATGGCTGGTTTTCCCCCCAGGCCAAGAAGAGTTTCTGAAAGACCACCATGGTCACCTGCCGTTCGACATCACTGCTCCCGACCTGAAGAACGGCTCCCTGTATCCTCGCTACGCTCAGAGCAGCCCTCCGGTCGAAATCATACAGGAAGCTGGCGAGATCGTCTTCATCCCGAGCGGTTGGCACCATCAGGTTTACAATCTGGTGAGAATCTTCCGAAAACCACAAGCTTTGCACACACACACACACACGCACAAACAGACGCAGAGTAGGTTCTGCTGCTGCTGCCAGCGTCTTTTGGTAGCAATGCCTTTTCCTTCTAGGGCAGGGGTGTCAACCCCGCGTTGTCACGGCACATGTGGTGACTTTTCCCTCCTTCGTTAAACCGGGCATGGCCAATGCATGAGGCATCCAGGCTGCCAGTTTGACAGCCCTGTTCTAGCGCCTCCAAGAGGAGGATGTCGCCACTGAGTTCACAAGCCTCAGTTTGCACGCCAAAAGATTCTGGGCGTCTTTACCTTGATATAAGCAAAAAGCAAGAGAGCCAGTTTGTGGCTTAGTGGCTAAGGCACCAGGCTAGAAACTGGGGAAACAGGAGTTCTTACCCATAGTCCAGCCTCGGGCAAAAAAGCCAGTTGGGTGACTGGGTCAGTCACTAGGAGACAGTGAGTTCTAGTTCCTCCTAACGCAGGGGTAGGGAAACTTGGCTCGTCTATCACTGATGGATTTTAACTCCCAGAATTCCTGAGTGAGGCATAAAAGGTTCCCCATCCCTGGCCTACTGGTTTTTCAGTTGTGGGGGAAACCCATTTTTGACTTGAATGGGGCTGTCCTACATTTGTATATTAAAGTCCCACTTAAGTAAAAAATGGATTTCCCCCACCACTGAAAAGCCAGCAGGCCAGGGATGGGGAACCTTTTATGCCTCACTCAGGAATTCTGAGAGTTGAAGTCCATCAGTGATAGACGAGCCAAGTTTCCCTGCCCCCGGGACCTAAGGCCTGAAAGCCAGTTGGGTAACTTTCAGCCAGTCATTGGGGGACAGTGACTTCTAGTCTGGCCTTAGGTACAGAAGCCAGATGGGTGACTTCGCTTCAATCACCAGGAGATGGTGGGTCACCAGGAAACTGTCTGCGAGACTTGGTCCAACGTCACCCAGCCAACCTTTGGTATTCCTCTGGGAGGACTAAAACTCCTTGTCTCCTGGTCCTTGGCCGAAAGTCACCCTTTTATGCCAAAGCTTCAGTCCTAAATTTCCAGCTTGATCCCCCACAACTCCCTGTCTTCTTAAGATACCTGATCCACAGTTTGAGTTGAATTCTTTTAAACCAACTACCTAATCCTTTTCTCTACGGTGAAATATTTGACTGTTGATGGACCTGTGAACAGAATTTTCGTCCTGGATCCCACTTTAGTTCTCCCAAGGAATTCCATCCCTTAGGCTAGGAGGAAACCAATAGTAACACACACACACACACACACACACACACACACACACACACACACACA